ACCGTCACCGAGGCCCTGGCCGCTGTTGCTGGCAGCGTGCTGCCGGGAGGCAGCTCTGCTTTTGGCATAGGCAGACGGGTTATAGAAAACTCTGTAGTCTAGTGGATCCAGCAACTGGATTGTAGCCGCAGATTTGGTGCCGGTGTCAGCTATTTCCAGGTTCTCTACCTTTTTCTGCTTACTTTTGCTGCTTCCGCTCTCGGCCTTGCACTTGGCTGTAGTCGAAAATGCAGTCACCCTGCTCAGTCTCGGAAATCTTCGGCATATTAGCACTGTAGCCATGGATCACAATTTACTGGGGTCAGAATTGCTTCCAGGTACTGAAAAAAGGGCAGACGAAGAATGAGTGGCTTCCACCTGACACGAAGCACTTTTTAATCTATCCTTTACGCTACCGAGCGTGAGGCGATGCCAGAGTTTCCCCTAGCCAGGGTGGCTGTTTCCCTGCAAAGCCACATGATGGCCGCTGTCGAACATCACCTCACGCAAAGGCAGTTCACAAGCAGCACCGAGGTGACCCGACCTGCCCGAAGTCGGGGTGCACGGCCGTCACGTGTGACCTGCTACTCAGCGGCTACAAGTAACCTGGCAGAGACTACAGAAAAAAAGTCACTCCTTTTTCATTTTTAAGAGATCTAACCTGCTTTCCTTTCATTCTGAACAATGAAAATGTATTTTTGCAGCACAGCTGCAGCTTCAAGAGACTTTATGTACTCAAAGAGAGCATTCTGCTACTTCAGTCACCATGGTCCGAGACACCAACCAGCACCCGAGACGCTGTCGAAATATCCAGCGTGCTGCACTGCTCTTTGCAGCTGGAGACAGTATGTGGAGGCCAAGAGCAAAGCCTCTGCAAAACCAGTCCACAAAGTGAAAGCTGACCCACAGCCTGCAGATAAAGGTTAGCTGAAAGGAGAAACGCGGCCCCGGAACAAAGTCAGGGAAGAGCATGGGACGAGTAACACAAATCACTATCAGATGCTACATTCAGAGTTAAGAACCAGAGGGAAAATAGCTTTACGCTTCAGACTTGGGAGCGTTTCCCATGGTTTTAGGGTACAGAAGGCTTAAAAATGCCAGGTGCCTTCCTAACTCCTGCCTAAACCAGCTGCAGCGCAGAGAGTGAGGATGAGAAATCTGTCAGGAGCTAAGCTGTGCGCTGCCAGCCCGCGCAAGCTGCCAAACGAGCCTGTTTACGATGATTCAGATGCCGACTACAAAAACGCAGCGGGTCAGCGCTCCGTGTAAGGCACCCTCATCCCCCCAGGTGTGGCCAACCCCAAAGATGCGCTAGGCCAGGCGTTTGCAACCTCTGCGGGCAAACTCAGTTTTGCAGCAGCAAAATGGATGCCTTGGAGGAAGAAGAGGTGGGTGAACGCTGTGGCTGCAGTGGGATGGGGGATCACAAGCCGCTCTGGCCGCAAGTAAGCTGGGTTTATTTTTTTTTTAAGTACAAGAATTCCCCCCCATCTCCCACGACTCGTTAAGACGATCTATTCCTGCACGGCAACGGCGAAGCATCGGCTCCTCCCAAGGAAGGGTGAGATGGTAAGGGAGGGAGGATGGGGAGAGTCGACGTGATGGTCTCTGCTCCCTCTCGGTGCCAGATGTGGGGTGCTGCCCGTTGTGGGGGCCGCAGCCTCGGCTGTGTCGTGCGTGCCCTGAGCTCTTCTGCAGCAGCAAGAGCAGTAACAGGAGCAGACAGGCGAGCAAGGCGTCTCTGATCCGGCACGGGCACAAGCAGCCTGCTGCTCTCTGCAGGCTGCTCTCTCCCCAGGTTGCTTTACCTCTGCCTTCACGGGGCTCGGCTTCTGTCCGAGGACGGGATCTCAGCACAGAGCTGGCACAGGAGCGCTCCCCATCTCCTCCAGTGCAGAGTGAGGTGGCTCAGTTCAGCCCTCTGGGATCAACCGAGTCGACTCGCACTGAGGCGGCCGAGGAGATCTCGAATCCTCTGCTCCACTGACAGAGCTTGGGGCAGCAACTGCCCGGGGGGTGAGGAGAGGCTGCTGGAGCAGTAACCCTCTCAGCCACCCCAGCAGGAGAGGTGAAAAAAGCAACCTGGGTGGAGAACAAGAGAGGTCCAGGGGCAAAAGGAGGGAAGGCAAGCTGAAATGGAGATTTCTGGAGACAGCCACGCAAGGAGGAGGGTACAAGCAAGAGGCCAATGTGTTTTTAAGATGACTGGTAAATGGCTGATAAATACTGTGAGACACTCAATAGCCTCAAAGCACACCCCGAGGCAGCCCCCAGCGCAGATCAGGCTCTGCTCCACAGACCCCAGGCACTGCTGGCCCTTACGGCTGTGACCGTCCCCTCCCCACGAGAGAAGTCAAATCGCGACAGGCAGGAGGGACTCTTACCCCTTCCTGACTGTCTTGTGAGCGGAGGAAAGGAAAAGCACTCTCAGAACCGGGACAGCAAAACCTGAGCCAAGAGCTGTGACACTGCGGCACAGCCCAGGCCACGCCAAGCCGTCAGCAGCAGCAAGCAGGAGCTGGATATCAAAGCTCTCCCATTTAGCACACAAATGTTTGACGAAAACATCATTTCTGGCTGCAACATCCAGCCTGAACCGGGTGCAAGTGACTGCAGTCCGTGTACCTGGAGACAGGCAGCCGTGAAGTGGCCTCAAGTTGCGTCAGGGGAGGTTTAGATTGGATATTAGGAAATATTTCTTTATTGAAAGAGTGGTCAGACATTGGAACAGGCTGCCCAGGGCAGTGGTGGAGTCACCATCCCTGGAGAGGTTCAAAAAACGTGTAGCTGTGGCACTTTGGGACATGGTTTAGCAGGCGTGGTGGTGATGGGCTGACAGTTGGACTTGATGATCTGAGAGGTCTTTTCCAACCTTCATGATTCTGTGATTCCATGCTATGATTCTATAAGCGGGCAAGGCTCAGCTCCCTGGGGGTGCGGGAAGGGGCCCCCCCCCCCGCAGGCATCGTCTCCTCTTCCAGCACCTTGCAGAGCTTGTCCTGGGGGACACTCGGAGGGGCTGGTGCAAGCTGCAAAGCTGCTCTTGGACGAGGGGAGCTTTATTCTGCACAGGCTTTCCACAAGACTTTCTTGTCTGACTCTGTTTTGCGTGCCTGCCTATTACCGAGAGACAAGCCAGCACTACCGTGAGGCATGCCACTTATTTAAAATAATTTCCATTTGCTGTTGAAAGGTGATGCTACCTACAAAATCCAGCACCCTGCTGTCACCAGAAACACCCTTCTCGGCGACAACAGCCCCACTTCAAAGCACAGAGCATCAAAGCCGCGGCGTTCGCACACCGAAGGCGAATGTCACGTGCTGCTACGAACACCAACCACCTAGTTTTGCGCCGAGCCGTGACACATTCGGGAAGCTGTTTAGTAAAGTGAATATTTTTCTCCTGCTTTGCTCTAAATCCAGCAAGAAAAGGAGAAGACCGCGTGCAGGGGAGTGAGGTTGGGCTGGGTCGAGACTTCGAGCACCTCCGAAAGAAACCGGCTGGGCCCAGGTGCCCTTTTGCCCATGACTTTCACCCACCCCCAGCACAAATCTTGGTGATCTTTAAAGCTTCTACAGCGCTTCTCTTCCAACTCAGCCTACACCTCTCCTCGATGTTCCTCTCTTACGCCGATTAATCAGCCTTCCTTCCTCCTCCCACTGCGCCTCTCTTCTCGCTCGTACACAGCCAAACTCCTTCCCACCTCTGGGTGAGCCTCTCCAAGAAATTTCACTTCCAGTGACTCCAAAAATCCAGCCAGAAAGCAAATTTTGGAGCTGGGCCCTGCAGGCTGCGAAGGCACTTTGCGGAGGCCCTGGGGGATGGAAACATCTTTGCGTGTGTGTGTGTGTGTGTGTGTGTGTGTCCGCGTGCCACACTTACAGCCGAGCGCTCGGCAAAGAGCGCAACGAAACCGCGCAGCTGAGCGTCAGCCGAACACCAGGGAAAGCAACGCCGCGGGAGGGCTGACACGCGCCGTGGAGCGGCGGCTCCGTGATGGGGGACACAGGCGCGCCCCGAAACGCCGGCCGGGCTCTTGGTCCCTCTGAAGCACGCAAAGGGGCTCCGGGGAGCGCTGGCAAACCCTCACGGGACACAGGCGAGGAGACCACCCCCCCCCAAGTCATAGAATCACAGGTTGGAAAAGACCTCTAAGATCATCAAGTCCAACAATCCACCCAGCA